TTCTCTGTCTTCACCTTCGTTGCCACCCAGGCCAGAACCACCATCCTAGCTCATCTAGATCACCGCAGTGGCTCCTAACTGGTCTCCATCTTTTAAACCTTGTTTTTACAGTTTGTTCTCAATATACTAACTACATTTTTTTTTTTTGGTACCGGAGATCGAACTCGGGTCCTTGCACTTGCGCAGCAGGCGACAAAACCACTGAGCTAAATCCTCAGCCCTCCAACTACATTTTAATATCTCAGTTAGATTCTGTTGTCCTCTGGCCAGTGTCTATGGTGAGTCTACATTTCACTCTGTAAAAACTCAGGTCTTTATAAAGCTTATTTTCCATTGCTTTTTTCAGGTAACACAGGCCTTTTTGCTCTTCTTTGAACCTACAAGGTGTGCAAGAAATGTGCTTTGTACTCCATTTGCATTTTAACTCAATTATTAGTATGTCTTCAAACTTTAGTTTTCTGTCTACAAAATGTGAGCCATCTTCCTTCCCTTCCTACCTCACAGGGAAAGGTGGTAGTGCTTTTTAATCCTACAGCCTTCCATAAGACCAAGAGTCATTGTACTTTTCAATTATGACCTCTAAAACTTGACTTGGTTTGTCTGATCATTTCTTGTTTTTTCTAGTCTTCTGTTGAGCTATGATTTATTCAGACAATATCTGGTATGTGACCTCTTTTATGCCAGGCACTCTGAGGATATGAGTAGCTAGGTCAAGGTCTTGTAAAGAATTTGCATTCTAGAAGTTAGAGATGGGCCTGTTAAAAACAAACAAGACTGCCTAAAAAGTGGCAGTTCTCTAATAAAACTGAAACATATATGAAGTATATGAAAAAATGTTGAAAATGCCTATTATTGATGGAGAGATAGGAGAACTGGAAGTATAAAAAGTTTTATAGAGCTGATCTTGCACTGAATCATAAAAATTGGTAGGTGGAGTAAGGTAAACATGCAGAGGAAGGAAAATTCTCCCTGACAACACCCAACTTATGCTCTGAAAGTGTATCCTCTGTTTATGGCAGTTGTAATTAATTCCTTTCAGGAATGATTATTTTTTCATTTTTGGTCTCACTCATCAACTTTAACTACCCAAAGGAGCTTCATATTTTTCAAGAGTTAAGCATAGTTCTTGGTTTAAGAGAGGGCAGTGGGGATGGAAGGAGGGAAGGAAGGAAGGAAGGAAGGAAGAGAAGGAGAGAGGGAAAGAAGGGAGAGAGGGAGGGAGGATCATGATTAAGAGCACAGGTTTGGCCCTAGTCGTGGACCTAGCTCTAACACTTAACCAACTGTATGACCTTGAACAAGATTTTTCACCTCTCTGTGCTTCACTTCCTTTATCTGTAAAGTGAAAAAGTTGATTTTTCATAGAGTTCATGAGAATTTAGTGAGACAGTTTTTGGAAAGGGCTTGGCACGTTTTCTGTCACATGTCCCCGTCCCCCCCCATTAAGTTTTGGTACATTTTAGATATAAAATACAGTTATATACATCATTGGGATCTTGTACCATTACATGAGTATCTTGGTTCTTATTTTTTTTCCCCTTCTCCTGCCCTCCCTTCATCCCCTCTACCCTTCCCTATTTGCAAAGATTTTGTTTCCATTTTTTTTCCTTTTCTCATATTTTTTCTTTTCCCTTCTTTCCTTTCTCCTACCCCTCCCACTTCCCCTGCTCTTTTAGACCTTTAATTCCTATTACA